ATAAACGGGTAGGGCATCTGATATGGACAAAGCAACAACTGTTGAAAATAAGTCTTGATAAATACTAACCTAAACCCTAAACCCTAAACCCTAAACCCTGAACCCCGAACCCTAAACCCTAAACCCTAAACCTTAAACCCTAAACCCTAAAGGCCAGAGCCTTTCAGCTTTCAAGCTGCAAGCCTCACCTGAAGCCCTCAGGCTGGCTTTAACATAGGGGCCTAAATCATGACCTATACTCTTTTTTCTTTTTTTTTTGGGGGGGGGTTAGGGTTATTGTACTTATAGTGTCGCGGGCCCCAAAACCCTAGTCTTTAGGTCTCAAGGTGCCTAAGGGGTACCCTTGTGTCCTTCTTCTTGCAGGACATCCTCATCAAATCTGGACTCTGAGAGAAAGGTTTGGGGTTTAGGGTGCCCTTGTTCTGAAGGTGACCCTAAACCCTAATCCTCCAACCCCTAAACCCTAAACCCCAAACCCCCCAAACCCTAAAGCGGAGAATCGGATTCTGAGATACGGAACCTAAAGATCGCCGAAGGCTTGAAGTGAGGGAGATAGAGGAAGAAGGCGCCAAATTCCTAAGAGAGTAGGGTTTAGGGTCTAGTATACGTGCTGTAATTTAATAAGGACCTACACTATGTTGGGGTGCTTTAATAATTAAGGGCCCCTACATCAGGTTGTGCATCTTTGCTCTTTTTGTTCTTTCGCTCTAGCATTCAGCAATAGACCCCAAACCCAGAACGAGGAAGAAGCTGGGTGCCGGCATCCCGCAGCCATGACACCGCACACCACAGCCTGGCTGCGAAGAATCTGCCATAAACACTGCAACGGTTTAGGGTTTAAGGGTTTAGGGTTAAGGGTTTAGGGTTTACCCTACAAACGAGCAGCACGTTAAGCCCAGAGCCCACAAAGCCCTAAGCGCTAAAGACTCCAAAGCCACAAAGCCTGGAGCCCTCAACCACTGATCCTGAAACCCTACACCCCAGAGCAGCACGTTGAAGAAGCCCCAAAGCATTGATGGCTCTTGTACCGAGGGCTCCTAAGGCGATAGTTCGAGCCGCGCCTCCTTGGGCAAATTTTTCGGAGCCCCAATGCTTCCGGCTGCTGTGGCCTGTAGCATAGCTCTCTGGCGCATTCGAGCGGGGCATTGAGGAGTTGAGGCTGTTCAGGGTACTTTGGCTCGCGAGGGCTTCAGTGCTCACGGCTGGGGCCGACTAGGGCTTAGGGTTCGGGGTTTGCACGTGGCTGGTCTAGGAACAGGTGATATACCGCTATGGTCACAGCCACCATCATCATCATCATCAGCAGCAGCACCACTGCCACCGCAACACGTATCGGCGTCGTCATCACCACTATCTCCATATCCGCGTTTATCACCGACGACATCAGACTCATCATGGCTATCCGAGCCCGCCCACGACGCTAAAGCTCAAACCCTGGAGCTCTGAAGCCGTATTCCTTAAACCCTACAAGCCTTATCCCTGCAAAGCCTAACATCCCAGCCCTCCTGAACCACTGAATTTCCCCTAGCTCCTAAAGCCCTAACCCGTAAGCCCTGCAATCGTGAGCTACTATCGAGATCCCACAGAAAGTCGGAGATGGCAGGTTGAGGTTTTCTTGTGCTTGAGTAGCCCAGGTTGTTCTGTCCGTCCACGGCGCTTTGGCGGACTGGGATGTGGAGGGCTTGTTCACGGCAGGGCTGAGCCTCGACCGTAAACCCTAAACCCTAAACCCTAAACCCTAAAGGGACTTGGGGGTTAGGGATTAGGGGTTTAGAGATCAGGGATTGAGCGGTTAGGGGTTTAGGGGCGCGAGAAGACTCCTGGTTTCGATTTCAAGATTTTCACGACTTTACGAAGAGTGTGTGAAGTGTAGGGTTTAGCGCTGCAGTGTCTAGGGGGCTTATGATCATGTTGGGATTTGGGGTTTGCGGATGTCAGGGGAGCTAAGTTTGGGAAACGGCTCGCAGCCAAATCTCACCTTAATTCTGTCCTTAACATACTCCGGAACCCTAGTCTAATATAGTCGCCAGAAACGAATTCCGACAGAAATAGCAACGTAAAGCTCCAATACCCCCTGAAGCTACAAGGATGCGAAGAGACCCTATGCAGGGGTCGGAGCCGTTAATAATAGCGTCCGGGAGTCCCCATATAAGTACAGTGCAATAAGGTGCCCCAGGCTTGTACACTGCTTTGGAGCCCAAAGAAGTACCTGTATTATTCTTTCGGCATGATACCTTGGTACAATTCTGCAATTGAGCGCTCAACCAAATGCCATATCTACAATACGCGCGAACCTTATACATAGCGGTTAACCCCCACATCCTACCTGCTACAGCAAACCCGAGAAAGTTGGAACATGGGTTTAGGAGGATTAGTGCTAGGATCCCTTATACTTTACTTCAAGGGCATGAGGACAATTCCAACTTTCTGGCGTATAGGTCCCCCCCAGGACTACCTGTGGCCAGTCGAGATCAGAGTTGCAAGGTTGCTCTAGGGTTGTCAAAACTTGCCCGATGTTACATCGTAGGGTTGATACGCTACACTCGAGTCCAGAAATTCTCGTTTCATCAAGCTTGAGAGGATAGGGTAGGGCCTACATGCAGTCAGCTATGCAGTTCCTTGTTCTTCCTATCGTTCAACCTTCGTGTTGGGGAGGGGGATCTACCTAAGTAAAGTGGCTCATCGGAGGAGAAGCCGGTTTTGGGTTTAGGATTTAGGGTTTAGGGTTTAGGAATCTTGAATCTGGTATCAGTGGAGACTCCTGGCCGGGTGTTTGGATTACAAACCCTAAACCCCTAAACCCCTAAATCCTAAGCCCAAGTGGGCACCCAGACCTCAAACCCTGAGCCCTAACCTCGACCCCAAAGGGTCCCAAAACCCTACAACCCGAAGCCCTCAACCCAAGCTGCCCCCCAATGCCAACATCCCAAACTCCAGAAACGGCGAAAGCTCCGCAAAAGTATAGGGTTTCAGCTTTAAAATTTAGGGCTTATGGTTTAGGACTTAGGGTTTAGGGTTTAGGGGTTTATGGTTTAGCGGTCATAATGTTGCTTAAGCCTTGCTGTAAACCCTCTGAAGTTTAGGATTTCGGGTTTGGGGCGGATGGGATCCCAACACTCAACTTCTGGATCCCCGAGGGAGCTGGATTAAGTGGGGCTTTGGGTTTAGGGGTTGAGGGTTTCGGGGCTTTAGGGGTGTAGGGCACAGGGTTTAGGGTTTAGGGTTTAGCGTCGTCCCAGGAGCTGGATTAAGAAAGGGGCTGTCAAGTTGAAGAAGCCAGATTTGCACGAGCAGCTCGTCTCGAGGTTTGGGGTTGGAGCTGTAAGGTTTGGGGGTTCAGGGGAGCTGCACGAGCAGCGCCGTCTAAAAAAGGGCTGTCAGGGTACAGACGTATATATTATGATATCTACGATAACGTTCTTTTACAAGTACAGTAAGGTGCGTGATTGTTTGCTCTGGATATGCGACCGGAATCGAGCTTGCGAATCGGAGCAAATCAAATGCCCCTTCTTCCGAATCCTGTTTAACTAAGACAGCCTACAAATTTCTATAGTATTCCATTCATGTTTCTTCATTTACATATATATATATATATATGTAGATGCATATTCGTTTATTGTTCAGGTTTTAAGGGTCTGAGCTTCAGAAGCTCCCGGGTCTTGAAGGTGTGCGCGCTTTGGGACCCTAAGCCCTAGAGCCCTAGAGCCCTAGAGCCCTAAACCCTAAACCCTAAGCCCTAGAGCCCTAGAGCACCCGGGGCCTTTTCGGTTTAGGGACTTGGGGTTTTGGGAATTGAGGGACCTCGGGTTTTGGACTTTTCGGGTTTAGGGTTTTGGGATTTAGGGACTTAGGGTTTAGGGTTTAGGGTTTAGGGTTTAGGGTTTTGGGATTTAGGGATTTAGGGACTTAGGGTTTTGGATACTGAGGTTGTGGGCATGAAACGTTTGTTATTGAGAGGGCATGGCCTGCCATAGACGTGCGAATCGGGGGGGGGGGGGGCTTGGCATTGTTCTGGTTGGTTAAGGCTTTAACGTTTTGGGCTTCTATATGAACTATAGTAAGCAGGCCGAAAGTTTAACTTTCAGGAGGGGTTCTGAAGTCAGCCAGCGGTGGGGGGGGGGGGGAACCCTAAACCCTCTAGGTTCTGGAAGGTTGGGGGCTTCGTGACCCGAACCGCGCGATCCCTAAACCCCAAAACACCCGAAATCCTGCAACACCTAGAAGCAAAACACCCTAAGTTCTAAACCCGAAAAGCATGAGCCCTGGACCCTTAGACTTAAACTGTAGTCCCCAAGTCCGAAAGCTTGAAGCCGATAATCCTCGGTCCAGAAACCCAGCTCGAATCTTGGCACACGTTTCGCTGGGCGGGGTTGGAATAACCAGTAATACTAAGTAACTAGTAGTACTATTCCTTAGGATTCCTTCTTATCAGCATACTACAGTGTACCATAGGGCCTTAATAATTGTACTATTTTTGGGGGGTCCTCATACCCCCAAACCCTATTCTAACTATTAAGGCCCCTACACTACCCCAAAGCCTTGTTCTAATTATTAAGGCGCCTAACTTAATCTTACAAGCTCTCAAAGCCCCAAACCCGAAACCCTAAACCGCGCCTGCGTTTTGCGGGTTCAAGGCGCTAGGGGGGCCCTAACCCTTCAGAGCCCAAAAGCATGAACACTCAACAGTCCTCTTCGAGATTGAAAGTCTAAATACGTCGTTCTGTGTGAAAAACAACCATCGAAATCGGAGCCCTCGTTTCGCTGCAAACTTTGAGAGATGTTGAAAGCCTTCTTCAGCAGGCGGCTTTTCCACGGACGTCTTTTGGCAATTGAGGGTTTTGAGGTGTTGGGTGTCTAGGTGTTCAGGGTATTGATCTTTAGGGTTGTAGGGTGTAGACTTTTTGAGGTGTGCAGGGCTTTGGTGTTTGGGGCATGAAGCGTTCAGCGTCGGAGCGTAGAAAATCCCCTGTCGGGGTTGCTGGGAGCTTCTCAGGCAGCGCATGGAAGACGTCCTGCGGAAGATGATGAGTCTGGGCAGCAGCAAAAGAACCCTAAACCCAACACCCGTTCAAGAGTGCTCTTCTTCGTTGACAGCTTGACCATTGGAGGGGCAAAGCTGCTCAGTCTTGGATTTATGGTTCTATACTGTGACCTCATGATGTAGCTCCCATCTCTGTGCTAGGTTAAAGGCCTGGCTTCATTTAGTTATACATGCGCGACAGCTGTACGATCATGATCATCTGAATCGCACACCCTGAGTTCGCCATCGCAGCAGCCATTTATCCCAACATCAATCAGACGTCCCAGATACCCCGAAACCCTTAAACCCCAAACCTGTATAGCAGCTCTACAGCGTCTCCACAAAACCACAGCAGCCAGCTTTCACAAGCAGCCAAATCTCGAAGCTTGCACCTAATTTTCTATAGAGACCTCGATAGTTTCAACAGTTTAGGGGTTTACTCTGCTCTTCCGATAGCACGGACCCTAAGGCCCTATATTAGCCCGAACGACTAAACCATAGCCATATAATCTAGCACAATCCCTTATCCTTACCCTAAACCCTAAACCTTTGAAATCCAAACCCTCAGCGCCAGGAGTAGCTGAATTGGCGACTTTCAAAGTTTCAACTGTCGCGTGGTACTGTAACCTCCTCAACCCCCCTCAGCAGTTTTCCTGCTGCTCTGCATGCTTAGAGGCTGACAGAAGCTCCATATCCCTATAAGTTCAGCTAGCTGCCTTGGATCCAAATCTTAAAGGCATCCAAGTCTATTTCAGCACTCAACACCATCTCCGAGAGGAGCCCCAAACCCCTAAACCCTAAGTAACCTAATATAGGGTGCCTTACTAATGACCTAAACTACCTAAACCCTAAACCCTAAACCCTAAACCCTAAACCCTAAACCCTACATTATTTTGGTGGTCCTCTTGAGTGGGGGGTCTGTTGCGTTTCTGGGACTTCGAGGGCTGTCTGGAGGGGCCTTAATAATTAGAATAGGGTCTTGGGGTGTATGATACTACATTTATATCCAGGACCCCCAACATAATGTAGGTCATTATTAAGGCACCCTATATTGGTATATTAGGTTACTTAAGGTTTAGGGGTTGGGGCTCCTCTCGGAGATGGTGTTGAGTGCTTTGTGGCTCAGGTGCTGGTGTTAGCTGCAGGTCCTGCATGCAAAAAGTTTTCATAGCCAGAGGTTTTCTGGATTAGACGACATCAGAGGTTGTTTCTGGATTCTTGTGGTAAGGTTTCCCGACACGGACCCTAACTTCGAGAACCCCTGGTGTCAGGATGGAACACTACCAGCGAGCCATACGATGCTTCGCACACTTCATGGCTGTCGTAGTGCTCTGCTTCTTATACCGCCTTTCGGACTGAAACTTCTGCGAAAAGGGCACTTGGGAATCGGTTTCTGCCGCACCCGAGCCTTCAATCCCGCGCCGCCCGCACAAATGTCACAGGGATTCAGGGCAGCTTTAAAGTTTATGTTGAGAGGTGGACAGTTGAGAAGGAACCGGAGAAGCGATGTCCACTGTTGCTTGAACGGCGAACTGTGCGGCTGCACTTTACAAGTTTTTCCCCATGGGAAGACCTCACCCCCCCCTTTCTGCTGCTGGAGAAGCAGATTAGCAGATCACAAGACATAAAAGACTGAATAATTGTCAACAGTGGCTTCCTGATTTCGCCGACCTACACACTAGAATAAAGCTCAAACCCGAGTATTAAGCCCCCTGTAGCAAGGCATTTGACGCTAGATGGCTTTGAGGTGCAGGGTTCACGTTGTAGGTTTACCTTAACCTCCCCCCAAAAAAAAAGTCTACCCTTTGTTATGTTCAGGGCTTCTTTAAGAATCGGATGTCGAGTCAAATGTAGGGGCCTAAATAATTACCTAAGCTGTGACCTATATTATTGTTGGGGGGCTCCTTACTAGGATATCAGTAGAATATATCCCAAAATCCGGCCCCGACATTATAACCTCGAACGTCAGGTTTGCTTGTAAGAAACAGACCCTAAACCCTAAACCCTGGCGAGGAGCCTTCATTTGGGCAGTTCTCCAAGCTAGGGTCCCTTTTCTAGGTTCCCAAGAAAGCACGGCACCCTTATAAGAAGGACGCTAAGGGGGACCCGAATTTGGACCACTACCAACTTATAGGTTATGAGTTCGGGGGTCAGAGGAAAAAGTGACAAGGCTCCGTTCTGTTGCGTATGAAAGTTGTGGTATATTTCGGTATAATATACCCCAAGACCTTATTCTGATTAACCCTAAACCCTAAACCCTAAACCCTAAACCCTAAACCCTAAACCCTAAACCCAACACCTTCTTCTGATTTTTGAGGCCGATACTATGGCAGGGCTCAAACCTTGTAGGAAAGCCCCCAGCTCGGACACCTCAGAATAAAAAGCCCGAATGTAGAGTTTAGGGTTTAGGGTTTAGGGTTTAGGGTTTAGGGGCCCGGAGATAGGGGCCTGAATAATTAAGAAGTAACAGCCTTCCTCCGCTTACTATTGCAATTGTAACGATTGCAAGTTTCCCAAAGCCCCTACTCTAATTTTTCGGCCACCACTGTATTAAATCTTTTTCGTGCTTTGGTCTTCTAGCACTAGAAGCCTTAAGACGCTGAGAATTAGCTTCGCCCTAAGCCACCAATGGTAGACTCCTGGACCCGCACTCGTAAACACCAAACACCCAGGCGTGCAGCAGCAGCTGGACTTTGTGACTTTAGTCCAGTTCCTTGCTTATGATGACTGGCTTCGGCAGATTCTGTTTAGGTGTTCATGGTTTTACCGTTGTTTGTGTTTTGGGGGGAGGGGGGGGTGGGTGAGGCTGCAGCGGCTCACTCGTTACAGCCGTGGGGCGCAAACATCGATTCGAACTGGTGGGCTGTATCTCAGGGCTGGGGAATTTCACACGTTTCTTGTCTCTGAAAACGTGTGGGGCAAAGGGGCCTGGAAGTGGGCATCGTAATTCGAAGATCCTTTCCGAGACTATAGCCAACGCCCAAGGCCACATTTAGAGGCCTGAACAAATTGTAGGATCATTCCTGAGGGCTCCCTACACTGTTTCCCAGAAACTCCAAGCCCCGTTGGATAAAGTTATAAACCTTGAGGGCTCCGCAACATCAGCTCAAATAATTTGCTCAATTCAGCGTGCCCGTGTGTCAGCATCTAGGTCTAGTGTCCAATATAGAGTTTTGAATCAGCATCCCTGACCTTGAGTAAATGCTTCCTGTCTGTTCATGCCTTTGTAAGCCGTCTTCCGTTTGATGAAGTAGGTCTTATCGGATGCGATCTGCACAAGACACTCCCAACACTTTCCAAAAACCCGAACTTGTACTCAGGATGTGAGGCCCTAAACAACCGGCCCTTAGAAAGGCTTGAAAGCCGCGAAGCAACGTAGACCAAACGCCCGACAGCCAAAGACGAAACCAACAACGCCAAGCCCCAGACCAAAATTTTCAAGCCACGAAGCTAAATCCCTAAACCCTAAACCCTAAACCCTAAAGCCTACATTTCGAAACTAAATCCGTGACCGGCCTAAAAGACTGAGCTCCATCACTATAGGGGCCCTGACAATTACCTATACGTTTGGGAAGTCCCTTGTCATAATTATAGTTTAGGGTTTAGGGTTTAGGGTTTAGTATACCCCAAAAGATCTTATTCTGATTAATTATTAAGGCCCCTCTATTCAGGTTTCTGGTGGTCTTGATGCAATATCTCTTCTCTTGGTGGGTGGCAAGGCACTGGAGCAGTAGCCGAGGGGAAGGGCGTCAGGCTTTGCTGCAGGGCTTCGAGCTGAATGTAGAGGCCTAATTGATTTGCCAATACTACTATTTTGGGGGTTCCTTATCTGTTTTATGTTTTATATATGGGGTTCCTTATTATGCGTATAGTATAATGGGCCCCAAAAAACCCTATTCCAATTGGTAGGGCTGGTAGGGTCGTACATTACGGGGACTGGGGTTTGGGGTTTGGGGCGTAGGTGCCTGCAAGAAGCCTTCAGCATGGAGAGGATTTCAACATGAAGCTTGGGTGCCTGGTTTAGGGTTTAGGGTTTAGGGTTTGGGTTACTCTACGCCGTATCGTTACAGAGGTGCTGTGCCAACCGACGGTTGCTAATCTGCTGCGCAGACATCCCACTTCCACGTGGAGACGTGGGCACGTATTTCTTCATCCCGACAACACCGTTGCGAGAGATATACCACAGAGACGACATATATATATATATATACATATATGAAGCTCACGTTCACTGCCAGCAAAATGAGCATGTAACGCCGAAGTTTGGGACATGCGAAGCCGTGGGAAAGGGTGCAACGTTCAGAATTTTGGACAGGTCTTGGATGGACACTGTTACCGATGATATAGGGGGCGGAATCAATCGTAATAATACCCCCTTGTGGTTCCGAACATGTCTGCGAACATACTTATAGTGGTTGAATATCCCCAAAACCATTTGAGGCGTGCTTGCATCAGTTTGGATGTTTCGCCCAGCTTTACATCATAAACATGGCAAGATCATGAGCTCTAGCTACAGCTGCTCGCAGAGGGCTACGAAAGAATGACCTTGCCGTAAGCTCCCACCCTTTTTCCGAGACGGATCGTTTTCTAAGTTAGGGTCCCGTCTTGGGACCTTTCAGTAGAATTTAGAGAACTGCCCACATGGTTTAGCATTTAGGGCTCCAAGTCCCAGAGGTTCAGGGTGTTCTAGTCCCCCAAACCCTAAATCCTAAACCCTAGACCTTAATCGCCAGCGTTCAAGCTTCGCAGGCTTCGGTGAGAGGTCTGAGGTTCAAGCGACACGGGCAAGCCCAATTCTATCGCCGAAACCATAGAAAAGAAAGAACCCCAGAGCCTAAACGCCTGCGCCCGCCACCTCTAACCCGATTTCTGGCATCCCAGATCGCAATTGTCCTCCAACGAGCTCCGACTGATCACGTCACCTGGCTCTCCTTGCCTTCGCAACCCGATGCTAAACCCTAAAGCCCCCAAACCCTAAGCCCCGAAAGTCTAAACGATGAAAACCCCCTCTAGAGCCGAAGCCCGAAATCTTACGCTGGAGCCTTGCAGCAGGCGCTTCGAGGTTTGTTCAGTGCAAGGTTTTCCGGCGTAGGGTTTGCTTTTGCAGTGAGGGGATGGGGGGGGAGGTGTTAGGGCTCTTCGGCAGAGGAGCTTCAACAGTTCATAACTCTATTCCCTTATGGACTGTTGTGTTTGCCTTTGCTGTGGTGAACTAGCTCGGCCTTTGGGATATTTCAATTAAGTTTTCCCTTTATTAGGCTCAAGAGGATCTTACTTATGGATGTTTTCAGAGGCTTTGGAGGCCAACCTGGTGAACCCACAACCCTGGTTCAACATCGTTGCTTGCTTGCGAGATTGTTTCTGAGGTTCATGCTCGAGAAAGCATTGCAGAGAACAGAGCATTGGGGCACCGTAGTGTGGAAATGGCTAGTAGGGGCCCCAAACAACTACAGTACCAATACTATTCCTTAGGGTTCCGTTTGATACGTATACGACAATATGATCCCCGACAACCTATTGTAACTGTCAAGGCCTCATACCAACGTATGACCCTTGACACCCGCTACTGGCTATTATGATGAAGGCCCCTACATTAGAGCTCATGACTTTCACCGACGGACCCGGGTGTCTCAGACTGCGAAGCATAAGTTCTCAGCACTCCCTTGCCATTCTTGGTCGTAGAGTAGGTAACCTTTAACCTCCTAGGTACTATGACCCCATATGCGTAGTTCTCTAAACAAGGGTCCTGTTTTGGGCCCCAAATAGTACGGCACCCATGTAAGGAGGACCCTAAAACGGACCCTAACTTAGAGAACTACCCATATAATCCCAAAGATTAACCCTCAGTGGCCCTAGGAGACGGGACAAATAACAGCCTTAGCCTCAGACTGCAATATCCCTCGAACCGAGAGTTTAGAATATTCAAAAAACCTTACACCCGAAAGCCCTCAACCCTAAACCCCAAAGCCCTAAACCCTAAACCCTAAACCCTAAACCCTAAACCCCAAAACCCCAAACCCTGGATCCGAAACCCCTTCAGTGGGGAGATTCTACTACTTCGGTTCTCTGGCCCCAAGCCCCAGTCCCAGACCTTTGCCCCTAGGCCTTAACTTAGTTCCCCAATACCCAATTCTGGGGTTCTTATACTTTAGTAGTAATCTGAAAGTTTACCCTTTATTTCCTTGGCTTATTGCGGAAGTAAGTTAAACCATCCAGCCCAACATCAGGGAGGCGTGAGTTTCAGGGCTTGGGGTGACTCTATACCCGAAACCCTAGGGCTCGAAAGAGTATCAAACTGTTTCATAGTTAGGGTTTAGGGTTTAGGGTTTAGGGTTTTTTCATATGTTTGCAAAAAAACTTTGCCCCACACCGAAGTCTAGGTGTCTCAGCCTCTCGGAAACCGGAATACCTCAGCTATTGCGGAAGCCGGACTACCATTCCTTAGATTCCCTGGATCTGACTTTAAAAGGTCAGATACACGACTTCCAGTGTTTGCTAATATGGTTTAGGGTTTAGGGGTTTAGGGGTTAGGGACATGGTTCAACAGGTACTACCCTACACCCTTAGCCCACTGCAGTTTCACGCCAATTCCGCCCGTAGATTCGGCTCTCGATCTCCAGGCCCCCGGTTCAGGGTTTAATACAGGGGCCTTGATAATTAGAATAGGGTTTTGGTGCCCATTATAGTATAATCATAATAAGGAACCCCTAAAATAGTATTGGTAATTATTTAGACCCCCTACATTAGGGTTTTCTGGGCCGTGAGAAGTTGATGGGCTTGATGTTAAAAGGTTCAGTTGATTCAAAAATCCAATGGGGTAACCTTAACTCTGTTAAACCCTCAACCCTAAACCGTTTGGTTTATCTTTCAAAGTTTTAACTTCTCTGGGCCCGGTTATTGAATAAGAGAGTTGACTTCTGCTGCGCATGGGCCTGAAATTAGCCGGTTCTTTGCGTCGGTCTTTGCAGGCAACCAGATTGGGTTTTGCGCTTGGGGACTTCACGCTACTCGGAGCAGGAGCGTGGGCTCAGAATGTAAGTCTGGAAGCCCGTGTCAGCTGCAGGCTGCTTTCACACGTCGGCCACGCTTTCTTCGTCATCAACACACACTTGGCAGAGGCCATGTGAGCAAGTGAGTGTGTGTGCGAGGTTTTCATGGTTACAAGCGTGCACCAGTTTGTTGGTCGGCTGTGGATCTGTTGTTGCTCTTGCCGACGCCACTTCGTGTTGAGCATTGTCGGCGCAAGAAAGCGATAAGAATGCTTTCCTGTGAGTTGCCGTGCCGAAATGACAAAAGAACAACCACGCCCTTTAGCCGCAAACCTCGCTCCTCCTAGCGACCACGAACCCAAAGCGGACCGAAAGCCCTGAGCCCTGATCTATAAATTCTATCAAGCAGAAGAACAACTATCAAGCCCATAATGTGGCCCAGTGTATGCCAAAGCCTTACATGGTGAAGTGCCATGTCCCCTTGTTTTCTGCTGAGTTGATGTTCGATATGAGGTATCAATGCAAGGTTTGCTACAATTTTACACAGGTTCGTAGGTGCGAGATTCAAGACGTCACACAATAACGGCTCGAAAACAGGAGCGTTTCAAACAATTGGTGTTGGGTAGTGCGTTCAGACCCGAAGGCTGCGTCCCCGAATCCACTAGGAAGCGGACTACAACTTCCTCTCAGTTTTCTCGGCGGCCATCCGCGTTTGCAGCCCGCCTCATTTCAGAGCTCCTTGTTCTATGTGCAAGCACCGCGGGTCCAAGCAACCTTGCCCTCCCACTCCCGTTAGGGGCTTTGGGTTTAAGGTTCACACTTTTGGTCACTGCTGGTCTACAAGCAGCGAGCTCTCTAAGTTAGGGTCCTGTTGTCAGTGCTCCGAAGAGTACTTGCGTGAGCACCAGGAGGACCTTGCGAGGTACCCATATCTAGAGAGCTACCCGAGTACCGGGAATTAACCCAGTGACTGTCAATGGGTACTTGGGTGGTTACGGCTTAAGGTGCGTGGTGGGCGGGGGGCTTAAGCTCCCCAGATAGTCCGTATATCAGTATAGTGCAGTATACCCCAAAACCCTACTCTAAGTATGCAGCCCCGTGTTAGTTTGAGAGATCGGGCTTTAGCGCACGTAGGCGAGGAGCCGGGATGTTTGATGCTATGCAGTGGGAGGACTTAGGGAGCGCAAGCTCATCTAGGCTTGGAACCCTAAACCCCTGGGTTTAAGGTAGACTTTGTGGCTTTGTGGGTTTAGGGTTTAGGGTTCTGTGGGGTTACTTCAGGTGAGTTCGAGCTTCTCCCGGGCAACGTAACTTCGAAGGTTCTTGAGGCTTTTAGGACAAGGCGCAGCCAACACTTACTCACTAGTCCTCGCGGTGCAAAGTTGCTACACCCTTGCTACACGCCGTACGTCCCCTTGAGCACGGCAGGCTTCCGGATGCTGCAGAATGCTCTCTTGGCTGCGGCAGCTCCCAGCTGCAACCCACTGTAGCAGGAGGGGCAAGCAGACTCACGACTCGACTGGATGCAGGACCATTGGTGTGTAATGCAGAGGTCCCCGAGTCGGCCGTGTGCACGCGTATGCAACCGGAAAAACTGCACAGTGGCAGGGGACTGCGAACCTGCGAACCCCCGCCCATCCGCTTGGAATGATGCATGACTGGGCTTTGCCCTGCATTAGCAACGCTCCTGCTAAGGCTAGTCGAATTGGACCTAGCTACTAGTTTGCTAGGTTCTGTGTACAGGATCACGGACGGCCATACTGGCACGACCTGTGCCGACGAATCCGTACTAGCTCATAGTACGTAAGACGTAAGATCTTTTGGATGAGCTGCCGCTACGGTTTATGGTTTACGGTTGGGTTTACTGCTCAGGGTAACATATACCTTCTGGCCTCACGTCTTTAAACATACATCCTGCGGGCCAGTTGGAGTGCTAAACCCTGATAGCCCAAAACCCGAAATTCGAAAGATGCTGGGGCTGTGGAGCCCCAGAAAGCACAGTTGGTGTCGGTTTCTTGGTCTATGGCTTCAAGGCTTTAAGATGTAGGGCTTTTGGGCCATTGGGTATTCGGTGTTCTGGCTTTAAGCGGGCGTAGGGCAAACCCTAAACCCTAACGATTTAAAACCGCGAGGTTTCGCAGGACCCTAAAACCTAAACCTTTTTTCCCCCCCGAAACCCTAAACCCCATGAACCCGAAACCCAGAAACCCTGTACACCCACACCACAGAGGCATTGCTGCGCTGATTCACGACCCGCCAGTGCTGATCCCATGTCAGACCCTGGCTTCTTGGGTTTTGAGATTCTGGGCTCCAGCTACATGGGAGTTTCCGCAAATGAGGGGTACCTTAGTTTTGGGGGTGCTTATGACAAGGATCCTATTATTTAGGGTACTATATTAGGATCCCTATTTTCGGAAACACCCACGATTGCCTGATGAAATTGCTCCACTTCACTTCAAGAGTTCATGCATGCATACGTACAGGTGCGTATCAGCACGAGCAAGGGGCTTTGAACAGAGAATGCCGAAAATCTCTTCCTGCCGAAGAAACTTCAAACTACGGTGGTACCCAAAATAATCAACCATCTGGAAGTAGCCCGGGAAACTTCACGTTTGCAAGGGTCATCCAGTTGAGGACAGTGCCTCAATGTACACGTCTATCTGGTTCGGGCGTATTTGCTTTATTCTGCTCTCTAAAACCCCGAAACCTAATCTACCCTAAACCCCTAAACCCCTAACCCCTGAACCCTGAACCCAAAGCTTCAGGCAGGAGTTCCGGGGACTTGCGGCTTCGCTCGTGGTGTTTGAGTTCTCCATCTCAGCTGCCCACCCTAGGATGCACGGTTCATGGTTGCCGATCGCGCGGGTTCCTGTACTTCCTTTAAGGTCCTTTTAAGGGCTTAGATAGCCAATGGGAGAACTTTCAACTTTTGGCCTTATGAACTAGGTCTATCCTAAAAAGTCAGAACTTGCTTGGGCCTGGTTGTTCAAGAAGAAAGTTGACGGTGGGTTCCTTAAGGGTTTACTTTAGCGTTCTTCCGTGCCCCTTTAAGGGTTCTAGTTTCGGCTTTCCACTTGCCGCCAAGGCAAATCCCTTTGAGCCTTTCTTCTGGCTTACGGAAAGTTCGATACCGCTTGTTTTGGTTCAGGAATATGCTCTGTAAGAATGAGGCCCAGTGCTGACCCTATACAAATGCAAGATAACTAAAGCAATACCACTAGGAAGGCTAATGTAGGGACCTTAATAATCAGAATAGGGTTTTGGGTTCCTTCATAGTATTATTATAATTAATCAGGAACAATAACAGTAATATGGGTAATTATTTCGGCTTCTACATTAGCCTCCAAGAGCCAAACCCTGAAGCTGCAATCCCATAACCTCGCAACGCACCGTAACATCCGGGGTTTGGTCTTTAGGGCTTTAGGGTTTAGGGTAGGTATAAGCAATCTCGTCAACCGTGAAAGCCCTAGTGACCCTTAGTTCGCCGCTCAGGTTTGTGTGGTGGAAGTTGCATGCTACTTCGGACTGGAGGCGATCGGTGGGAGTAGTAAAGGGATCTTTATTTTCGCCAGTAATAATACGGTTGGTGATGTAAATCCTGCATTACCTTAAGGACCCTAAACTATGGGAATTATGGTATATTCCTTCGTATGTGTAATGCAGGGTTGTTATATCATCATTCGTATTTCTGACAGTCTCAAGATGGTTAATTAAGGCCACGAAACGAAAACGACGTGGAGGCCAACTTGGGCCGTCTAGGGATCTACAGTTGTGGTGTTCAAGGGTTTAGAGTTTAGGGGTTAGATTAGGGTGTTACGGTTTAGAGGCGTGCAATATACAGTTTAGGGTTGTGTTTATGGTGTTACGGTTTAGAAGTATACATTATACAGTGTAGGTTGTGAAGGCTTGGCGGGACAAGGATTCCGGGTGGCTTGGAGTTTATACGATGCATTTCCAGGGTTTCGGGTTGTTTCGTGCGGCAAAACAAGGCTTTCGGTCGAGGGTTTCAGGTACAGGGTTTAAAAAGATGTAAAGCAGTGCCCTGAATGATTACCTATACTATTTTGGGGATTCCTTACTGTAAACATAGTATAACATACCGAAACTCCATTAAAATTACACATCTTTGAGGATGCATATTATGTCGTCCTTTGTTTCGCTCTTCGTCATCCACCCCAAAACCCTGCTCCAATTATTGAGGCACCTTTAGTAAGTCTTGCGGAAAGCGTATCATTGTCTGATAACACTGCACAACTGCAAAGTGCACTTCGTCCTTAGCCGGGCCCCGTTCGTCTTCGTAAAGTACTTCGTAACCCAAAACCCTAAACCCAAAGCCCTAAACCTCGGGCTCTACAACCCCAAACCCTAAACCCTGGACCCAAGGCCCCGGGCTCTACATCACAAACCCCAAGCCACGAAAGCTACTCCCAACTCCTGCATCCCAGGACCTAAGGCCCCAAATGGCTGCAGCCAAACCCCTTCTCTCATAAACTTAGGGTTTAGGGTTTAGGGTTTAGGGTTTAGGGTACCGGGCTCTCTGGTAGGAATT